AATGATGTTAGGGTGACCTAAAGGAATTTTTCCTGTTTCATTGATAAATGGATAAAGGGATGCAACATCATAATATTGTATATTTTTTCATTAATGGCTTCTTTGTAAAGTGTGAACGCTTGATGTCGACCCCCGAAAAATCCTCCCTAGGTTGTAAGGGAGTTACCGTATCAAGCTATTCTATAAAAGTCCTCATCCCAGTGTTTACTTTTAATTCTTTCTCAAACTCAGATTCCCAGATAGATACATACGTATAACCAAGCTTTTCTATATATTTCTGTTTAGTTATATTATTTTGATAGAGCTCACCCATGGTAACTTTACTGACAGGGTTCATTAAATTACTTGAATATTGGTTAGGATTCTCATGCCCAAAGTCTCAATGAAATTCAAGTACAACCTGTTGGTCTTTTGTTTCATAATAACCATCCACCTTGTATTTACCAATAGCTTTCTCACCCCCGTTTCTCGCATGCTGTATACGGATACCGATACTATGTGACATGTATTTTACCCATTGTAAAGCCTTAACAGATTGAATCTGTTCAGGATTATATCCGTGTGTGGGAATAACACCAATAGTATGTTCTTGCAGAAAAGTGATTCTAAAGACAGTTTGACAAGCGGAAGTAATGGTGATGTTCTTTCTAAAAGGATCAACGACGGTAACTTGTTGGAAGTCCGCCCTAAACTTCAGACAACATCGTCTTAGAATATCAACATCAGACCGACAATATTTTAGTATTTCATTTTGGAAATCAAACGGTGTGTTTCTGTTGGATTCATACCACTCCATGAAAATGGCTCTACAATCAGGTTTCATCGCGTCATGGTTATAGTAGTTAATGTCTGGTAAACGATCTAAGACAATGGTTTCATTGTCAAGTCTGTTGAAAAGATTGGGGAAGTAACCCTTACTTTATTCAGAAAATCCAAACATTGCTGGTAGTTTTGAAAGGGCCATTGGCAAGAAATTGATGGAATCAATCATTTTAATTTTGCAACTAGGAACTATCAAAGACATGATCTTGGTACCATTTGGTATCACTGTAGGAACGACAGCATTTCTGTACAAATATTGCAAAATTGGATAAGAATCGTAACCTTGAAAATTGTCTTCAGAAAATAGCCAACTACAAAATTGATAAATGGTATCAAGGCCTGAAAATATCATTTCATTCTTTCCACACATCTCACATTCACTTTTCTCACTCAACTTTCCATCCATACACAAAGTACATACTTTATGAGCCACACATAGATTTGGTATATGTTCAAAGGCACCGCATTTTGACTTTTGACAATTTATACATATCCCATTATTTTCATCTCTTTCATACACTCTCTCGCATTGATCAATATCTTGTTGTGTGCATTCTAGATCGAAAAATATGAAAGTATCAACATTTTCTTTATCATCACTTTTATTAGTTAGTTCATCTTGATTCTCAGGTTTTATATAGCAAAGGTGTCCTTCTTCGAAAAAGTCTTTACATATTTCACAATATTTTGAGCCGCAAACATGAGGTTTTTCACTCATTTGTTTGTTGATTGTTTTTCCACAGTCATTGCATCTTTTGTATGTACGACACGTAGAATTTCTATTGGCTGTAACTTTTTAATGAAGTTACAAACATATCTCTCCACGGAAAAACCGATTACATATACTACAATGGAGCCATTTTTTGTCGTTACCAGAACGTACCTCAGAGCGTTTTATGTCTGAAATAGAACGTGTTCTACAGTCAAATGAAGATTTCACCATAGATCAATCTCTTATTTTTGAAGTTGAACAAGCCAACTGGAGGAGCTAGAAAAAAAAATGTCCTTATGTGGACCTAGAGAGGACATTGAAAGAAAAACAATGCTTTATCCGTATTCAGAATGACGACAACTAATGCTGTGCAAGAGCTACTGTATTCTTAGAAAAGATTTCGCGCGTTTTAACATAGCGCTTTTCGCGGTAGGCATGATTCGGCGAATCTTTATAGCCGCGAATATGGTACTTATAACAAATCCGCGAACATTTCTAGCTTCAACCAAATATAACATGCAGAATATTTATTATAATCTACTTACACACAAAAAAAACATATAAACACTGGTGCTATAGAAATGTGTAAAGAATTATTTATGTATGTTATTGATAACTAGTCACGGCGTTGACAAACGCATTTACAGTTTGCGTTGAATGACTTGGATTTTATTTGCTTAGAGAAGGTGTAATTCTTTGTTAGAAGTACAATAGCGATCAAGTGCTACATTGATAAACAGATGTTATGTTGTTATAATGAAAGCGATGTACAGTCCGATACTGTGTAAAAAATACGTATTGACATTTTGAAGATAAAGTCAGTTATGATAGTGAAAAAGGTAAAGAAATATGAAAGTGTTCACGTAACAACCATCTGTGTTCGACTAGTCAATATATAAAAAGGTATCGAGTAATGTCAAAAAATTAAATGTACCCAACAGGCAAGGTCATGCATCGAAAAAGTAGCCTCCAAAACTGCAATTTAGGCTGTAGCGACTAAATATTCGCGGAATTCGCGGTTACTACAAATCCGCGAAAGTTTGTCTTCGCGAAAATGCCGACGTTGTGAAAAACGCGAATTATTGTATTCGCGAACACTTCTAGGTAAACCGCAAAAACAAAGCTTGGACGACATGAAAAGTGGAACATTATCAGACAGGGTTGTGCCATACAAATGGAAATGGCTGAGGAGTTACACAAACAAGCAGATGTACCCCTTGGACCTTTTGGTATTACAGAAATCAAGAAGTTTCAAGAGTGTCTTCACGGATACCAGATCAACGTAGTGTCAGCCCACCATTTCAACGGTATTATATACGCAGGACCAGAGGCAGACAAGAAAATATACCTTTATCACCATGACCATCATTATGACATCATCACTAGTATGCCAGCATTTCTCGGTAAAATTTATTTCTGTACAATGTGTCAGAAAGTGTACGATCACATTGAACAGCATTCGTGCCACAATGTATGTCATTCGTTTAAGAAAGTGCATACCCCGAGCGACAACAAATGGCTCCATTGTAGTATATGTAATCGGGTTTTCCGTGGCGAGATATGTTTAGAACTTCATCAAAAAGTTACAGCCAATGGAAATTCTACGTGTCGTACATACAAAAGATGCAATGACTGTGGAAAAACAATCAACAAACAAATGAGTGAAAAACCTCATGTTTGCTGCTCAAAATATTGTGAAATATGTAAAGACTTTTTCGAAGAAGGACACCTTTGCTATATGAAACCCGAGAATCAAGATGAACTAACTGATAAAAGTGATGATAAAGAAAATGTTGATACTTTCATATTTTTCGATCTAGAATGCACACAACAAGATATTGTTCAATGCGAGACGGGGTATAAAAGAGATGAAAATAATGGGATATGTATACATTGTCAAAATTCAAAATGCGGTGCCTTTGAACATATACCAAATATATGTGTGGCTCATAAAGTATGTACTTTGTGTATGAATGGAAAGTTGAGTGAGAAAAAGTGAATGTGAGATGTGTGGAAAGAATGAAATGATATTTTCAGGCCTTGATACCATTGATCAATTTTGTAGTTGGCTATTTTCTGAAGACAATAACAACGCACCCGTTATATGTGACAATTGTCTTATCCAGTTTTGCAATATTTGTACAGAAATGCTGTCGTTCCTACAGTGATACCAAATGGTGCCAAGATCATGTCTTTGATAGTTCCTAGTTGCAAAATTAAAATGATTGATTCCATCAATTTTTTGCCAATGGCCCTTTCAAAACTACCAGCAATGTTTGGATTTTCTAAATAAAGTAAGGGTTACTTCCCCCATCTTTTCAAAAGACTTGACAATGAAACCATTGTCTTAGATCATTTACCAGACATTAACTACTACAACCATGACGCGATGAAATCTGATTGTAGAGCTATTTTCATGGAGTGGTATGAATCCAATAGAAACACACCGTTTGATTTTCAAAATGAAATATTAAAAATATTGTCAGTCTGATGTTGATAGTCTAAGACGATGTAGTCTGAAGTTGAGGGCTGACTTCCAATTACAAGTTACCGGCGTTGATCTTTTTAGAAAGAACATCACCATTGCTTCCGCTTGTCAAACTGTCTTATTGGTTTTATTCCCACACATGGATATAATCCTGAACAGATTCAATCTGTTAAGGCATTGCAATGGGTGAAATACATGTCACATAGTCTCGGTATCCGTATACAGCATGCGAGAAACGGGGTGAGAAAGCCATTGGTCCATACAAGGTGGATGGTTATTATGAAACAAAAGACCAACAGGTTGTACTTGAATTTCATTGAGACTTTTGGCATGAGAATCCTAACCAATATTCAAGTAATTTAATGAACCCTGTCAGTAAACTTACCATGGGTGAGCTCTATCAAAATACTTTAACTAAACAGAAATATATAGAAAAGCTTGGTTATACGTTATGTATCTATCTGGGAATCTGAGTTTGAGAAAGAATTAAAAGTAAACACTAAGATGAGGACTTTTATAGAACAGCTTGATACGGTAACTCCCTAGGGAATCAAAATCCAAGATGGCTGCTTTATGTAGACAAAGAAGATAAAAAAAATCTCGTCTAGAGTGACGTCCTTCACTACTTTCTGTTTTTCTCTATGTTGAAGTCCACAATGAATATTGCTTCATGACACTAACAAAACAAATTTTTAAAAACCATCACCGTGGTTGACATGTTATATGAAAGAAAAAGTATCAAACATTGGCTGTCGTAACGGGCGGGAATATCTAGCTCTCACGAAAACTTGGCAGAGTCTCAAAACCGCCGTAAACAGTCACCCTCGAGCTAGATATTCCGGTCTGTTCCGGCAGCCGGTGTACGATCCTTATAATGTGACTCGGTTGTTTGTGGGCTGCCAAACACTCAATCTCAAACACTTACTTCACAAAAAACGAAAACAAACAAACAAACACTATTTAATTAAATCATTTTTGCATGTTATCATTTATTTATCAGTACACATCAACACAGCCATATTTTAATGATGATATGGTAAAATCGTATATAAACATATACACATATTATATGTGCACACATGCAGGTTGCACTCTCCTTGTCCCGAGGTTTATCCTGGCTACTTCCCGTTTACTGATAAACTCTCCCTTTTCGTTTACTGTCTTTTCATTGACAATTTGAATTACTTCTATCTCCCCTTCTGATAACCGTCTGTCAGAGCCAAGAAAATATTCCGAGTCTGGACAACAACTTTTTCTGTGTTTTAAATAAACACACCATAGCGCAAGCTGAAAATTAAATGACGTTTAATTAAAATATATGAAATACGAGGGCTGTTCGAAAAGAATTGCTTATTGTCCTCTATCTCGTGATCCACGTGGGACACGATAAAACCAATACATACCTGTATAGGGTAATTCAATACCTACACAACGGTGTATAAATGTTAATGTTAGACTAAGTGTAAGACATACAATTTGCCATTTAAGTACACGCAGTCATTGACCACTGTAGTTAAAATGGTTGGTAGAAGCGTCGACAAAAAATATGAAATACGGGCTTACATCAAAGCACGCTCAAAACTGAGTTGCTCTTTAAAGCAGTTGATGACTGAACTCTCAACTGCTTATGGGCCTTCTTGTGTGTCTTATGACACAGTTAGGCAATGGTAAAAGAATTTTGAGTCTGGTGAAGAGTGCATCAAAAATGCACCAAAATCAGGTAGGCCAAAATCTGCATCTCGTAACGAAATCGTTTCCAAAAGAAAGGATATCATTGAAAGAGATGCCAGATTTACAGTTCGTGATATTGCACGAAAGGTAGGCATATCACTATCAACGGTTCACTTTATTTTGAAGAAGCATTTGAAAGTCAGAAAGCTTTCTGCTAGAAGGGTCACACATCTGTTGACCGATGAGCAAAAGAGGTTAAGGTGGCCAAAAAGCTGCTTCAAATGTTTCCAAAATATGACAAAAATAGTTTGCCAATGTCGTCACAGGTGATGAAACTTGGGTCCATTATTTTGAGCCCGTCAGAAAAGATAGCAAAAAAATCTGGGCCACTAAACGCAACAAACGCCCAATAATTGCCAAACGGTCTTTGATTGCAAAGAAGGTTTTGTATGCAATTTTCTTCTCTGGTGCCGGTGAAAAAGGGCAAAAGTATCACTGGGAAGTACTACAAAAACGTAGTACTTAAGAAACTGAAAAAGTACTATAAGAAACGGCACCCTGTCACTGGTTTTAAGCATATCCGTCTTCTACATGACAATGCCCCCGCTCATACCTCCGCAATAGTTTCGGCGTTTTTGAAAAAAGAAAAAGTAACTGTTTTGCCTCACCCCCGTATTTCCCAAACTTTGCCCCATGTGATTTCTTTTTGTTTCCAACATTGAAATCCTTCCTTGCTGGGCGGAAATACAAGTCCCGACAGCCACTTGGATCTGCCATTCATCAGTACCTTATTACTGTGCCCAAATCAGCGTACCGTGACGCTTCAAGAAGTGGATACATCGGCTGAAACTTTGTATTTCTAGCCATGGGGAGTACTTCAAGGACATGAAATGAACATTTGTGAGCTAACTTGAAATTGGAAGTCTCAAGATAGAAATAAGCAATAATTTCGAACATCCCAAAATAACAACTATATGTGATTTAATTTAACAACATGATATCGAAAAAACTTAAAGTAGAATTAATATAAACACGCTTTTAGGAATAAAATATAATTATGAAATATGCAAAATAAAACGAGTATGAAATGCGCGCACACGTGATAAAAAAATAGATAAAACTACTCAAGCAACAAGTGTCACTAAAAAAATATGAAAATCATGCCTTCTTAGCGTTTACTGCCTGTGCCAAAGTAAGTCAATAAATGAAGCACAAAACAGAGCATTGCGCAAATCACATGTTATTTAAATCATTTTGTGTCTAAAATTATCACAACTAAGTTACTGTAAGAAATATGAGAGTAGATATCAATGAATTTTCATTTCATTTATTTAATTATTATTTTATTATTATTATTATTATTTGCAAATTGTTATTATTATTTCAAGTATCAAAGTTAAAGATCCTGTAATACATTTTTTATGGTTTTAAATCATAGATATGATGCTCATATTAAGATTTATCAATATTGTAGGTTCCAAAAAGCATTATTTATAAAGATATCACCGAATTTAACATTTCATGTAAATAAACAGAGGTAATTAGAAATTTAGTTTCTATAAAGTTTAAGTCAAACATTACAATAAGAAATGAATGCATATATTTTAATGATTACCTGTAATATGCATAAATATTTGCAGTTCATATTTTACATTTTATTCGATGTTTGAAAATTGTTTTATTTGCATAATTATGTAAATATATATAAATTGTTTTAGTGTGGTTAACCACTTTGATCACAACATACAGGGTCTTTAATTGATTGTCACAATTGCTAGGATGATGATAAGGAATCATTATGCTTAACACTTTTGCCAAATGACTTGAAATTCCCTTGATGCATTACGAGTTATGGGCCGGGCAAAATTTTATGACTTCTGAGTGTTACCTTGGCCTTGGAGTTATTTTAAAATGCCTTGAAGCATGAGAGAGTTATTGGCCGGACACGGTTTTCTAACTGTTGACCTTTGACCTCTGAGCACATCTAATGATGTTCTATCCTTGTGAAAAATATTTTCAGAATCCCTTGATGCTTTACATAGTTATGGACCGGACGATATTTTATAACTAAGTCTTGACCTCCAAGTGTAACCTTAACATTGGACTAGCGGTCTAGGTCTTACCAATGACAAACTTCCTGATCATGCTTAACATTTGTACCATTTTTTCTTCAATTTGAAAATTCCTTGATGCATGAGAGAGTTGCTGGCAGAAAAAAGAATTAAAAGATGTTGTAACTGCTGACCTTTGACCTTTAAGTGTGGCTTGAGGGCTAGGGGGCTAGGTCTTGGGCATAACACACCAGCTCATAATGCTTTACATTTGTGCCAAGCTATTCCAAAACCGCTTGATGCACGGCAGAGTTATTGGCCGGACAAGATTTTCGAACATACGCACTCATGCACGCACCGATAGACGGTCAGACGGTCAGACGGACGGGCGAGCAAGGGTTACACTAAACATACCATTGCCATTCTCATTGCTAAGCATAAAAGCAACTAATGATAAGGCATTATTTCAATTGATCATAATTCTTTGTTTTTGTCATATTTCTTCATGCGGGTAGATCACAAAACTTTGACCGGAAAGTGAAATCGACCCTGATTAAAATGTCCAGGCCTGAAGCCCGTCGGAGCTATTATTCGTTAAGCGGACCGATTATTATTTTCGGTCCCTCTAAACCGAGAACAATACCCTGAATCGTCATTCAAAAGCACTAATTTTAATTTCAATTAATTTTGCACATCAGATTTCTACACTGATAAACTAGGAAATCAAAATTGCAAATTCTCTCTAGAAACGTGCCTAACTTTAAAATTGATCAAATTTTAGCTAAGTGTAATATTTTCTAGAGCTTCTTATGCAATATTTCAATTATATATTTAAGGGGACCCTCAATAGAAGTGAAAACACAACGAACAGGAAAGTAGATGAAAATTAAAATCTAGGCTTTTTTTGAGGCTGTTCATGAGAAGCTAGTACAAAACGCTCATATCCTGCCCGCCCTAGCACCGTCTAAGGTGATATTCAGTTATCAACACTAAGAGTATTGAAATTCAATTCAGACATCTTTCGGAAAACAATAATCAATAAAAATATAGATCTGTGTATATATTTAAGAAATGAATATTTCAGATTTTCTTGCTCACCTGTACAAAGCCAAACCACATATTTGCAAATACAAATCTGAATCCAATTATATATCGGATCATATCATCAAATGGAATTGTAACGCTTACATAGATAATGCTTATCATATTGAGACAGGCTGAAATGAAAAGAAGTAAGTTATGTTAATAAAGTATACTGTAATATAGTCAAACGTTAAGGTAATATATTTCATTTCATATTTAAAAGTTTATTAACCATAAATATCCGTCCGATTTCCGTGCATCAATTTGACAGTATAAAAATATTCAATCAAAATAAACGTTTCAACTTCTTGAACTTCTTCAATCCATCGCCCCGGTTTCCAGAATAACCATTTTATTGTGCAAAAAATCAGATCAATCAGGCTTAAATTGCACTTTTTTGTTAACAATTGCATATTTTTTTCCATTTTCATTTCTTCACTTGTTCTATCTTAAAATTTAAAATTTTAATATATTAGGCATTTTTTTACCTAAATGTCATTTAATCATTATTTATTTTTTATCTTAATTAACCTTTTACTAACAAAAACAGACGAAAGGGGGAGAAATCAATATTAATTATCATTTATATAAATATCATTATTATTATTGTTAGTAGAAGTAGTAGTAGTAGTAGTAGTAGTAGTAGTAGTAGTGGTGGTGGTGGTGATGGTGGTAGGATTATAATTCTTACTCACTTTTAATGCCAGCCATGATAAACCAACAGTTGCCGCAGCATACACAGTTCTCCCATACAGAGTGACAGTAAGGCACAAATATAAGTTGAACGCAATACTTGATTCTGCACAATGATATGGTGACAGTAAACAGTTCAAAAAAGAGGGTCACAATAACAAAAGCTCTAAATCCTCTATATATTCCGACCCCTGCATAAAAAAGACAAAAGGATTTAAAAATAAAAATAATAATTTCATGTCCATTTTCTTGCAACTTGATAACATTATATTACCGAAACATTTTCTGCAGTGTTTCAATACCGTTAAAACTGTGGTAACTTAAAACAACCCTTTCAACTAGTCTTGCAAACCTTTTACGTGCCCAGACGTTTATGATCTATAACCAATGAAGACTATCGTTTACTTCTTGATATAAAGTACACCAACAAAAATGAAAAGGAAAACACACAGAGAAATAAACAAGAAAACAAAAAAATATCATATGTCGTCTTCCAGAAGACGTTTCACGAGCAAATTGTTTCGCAAGTCGGCTTAATGTTGACGACATTTAATGATCTCGTTAGACGTAAAAACGCAAGTCGTCTTGACAAAAGTTTCTGGCTAGTCAACAATATCAAGACACATTGACTAAATATTTTTTACGTAAAACACCTTTTTCTGAACGACTTAATTAGAAATTTTTAGTCTAAGCGTTTAAAAAGAAGAGAAACATCTCGTAATAGGTGGCCGTTTATAGCTTACTTAGAAAGCTTGTCATTTGTCTAATGTTTTCTTCTCGAAAAGTGTTACTTTTTTTACTAGATTTTTGACAATAGCATCAAGCATATCGAGATATATTTAGTAGCAATGCCTTAACATTTCTTATCTTCGTCAGTAAATTGTATTGAGATGTGCAATAAAAATAAGTCGACTTAGCGCAAAACACCTCATCAACTGTAGGCCCTTATTATCTTCAGACAATTATAGATTTTTTCATCATGTAACTTTTAAGAATTACTTTACAATAAATCCCCATTTCTCTACCTATATATAAAGGGAATCTATCAAATTTACAATACACAGCAGAACTTGTAGTAGATATTTTAACATTTAATAACCATTTCATGAATTTTCTATGTACTCTTTTTCAATATTTTTCTGTTCTGTTTTAACAAAACCCAAAGCTTCAATATAGATGCTACACAAGCATCAAAAAGAGTTAACATAATATTTACGAACACTTCTCAATCTCTCGTTATTGCAAAAAAGGGACCCTAATGCTTTAAAGCTTTGTCTTCTTATGTTTTAGTTGCATTCATAACAGATCCACCGCTGAAACAAACAATACCTAAATAATGGAAACTAGAAACAATTTCTAATATTCGCCCGTCATGAATACGAGGTTCATTTTTATCACACCCCCCCCCCCCCCGCACGCACACACACACACTATAAAAAATAATAACCTTTGATTTTTTAACATTTACTTTTAATTTCCACTTCTGACAATAATCTTCTAAATTATTTAATGATTGTTGTAGCCCGTCCGCAGTCTCTGAAAAAAATTTACGGCGTCGTCAGCAAATAGTAATTGGTAGATAGATAACTGATCTAACGTGAAACAAGAATGACTGTCAATTTTGATAAAAAATATCATTAACGAATAGTGAAAATAAAAGCGGCGGCATTATCTCCCCTTGTAATAAGCCTACAACTTCATTGAAAAAGTCATGGATGTATCAATATATCGAACGCATAATTTGACCTCATTATACAAAATATGAAAAACAAGATCAACAAGGAAAGGCGGCGCTCAATGAACGAAAGATCTAACAACATTAAATATTCTTCCATTTAGTAAACACTATTTATTATTGATTTGACCAAAAGGGCATTTCTGTGTATAGACTTAAAACATTTCATTAAGTATACAAAACAACAATATAATTTATTTTTGTTATTAAGCTGTCTTTCAATCAAAGAATGTAAGAGGAAAATAGCATCGACTGTACTATAATTAGATTTAAAACCAAACTTGGCATTAGTAAGAATATCATGTACAAGTGCCAATTTTTCAATCGCTAATTTATTATTACAATAAATATTTTAGCAAAACCGCTTATGAAAGTAATACATCTGTGATTTGTATGTAAATTTGAATCTCTTTTTGATAAAAACAGGTATCATCATGCCCCTCGACCATGATTTAGGAAAACATTGTTGTCTCAAATATAGTTAAATAAAATTAATAACGGTTTGTCTAAAATATAGAATTCCTCTTTGAAGTATTCGTTTAAACACAAGCTATATTCGTTCCCAAAAAGTTAAACTGCATTTCTTACTTCAGTAACAGTAAACAGTGCATCTAACTCATCAAATGTATAATTTATGTTTTCTAAATTATCATAGTTTCTATTTCTAGTTACCAAGTTTCTATTTCATCATCTTCTTCTACTGAAAACTCAAATGTAAGGTTCTTAAACTGATTAAAAAAACTCTTTCATTTAAACACTTTGCCTTTTTCTTACTAAATAATTTTCAAAACTTTTTTGAAGATTTATTTCTCATAATGCTGATATCTTATGAAAATTCATCGATGTAATTTTTGTATAATCTCTGAAATAAATGGCAAGCATTTATTATTCAATTTAATTCAATATTTTATTTGGCATGAAACTAAATATAGCATATAGCCATTACATAAAATAGGTACAGTGTAAGACATTTTTACAATAAATTGTAATACAATACAAAATGTTTTCTGAGAAGTTATTAACAATAGATCGTTTTCTGAGAAGTTGTTAACAATAGATCTTCATGTAGATTTAGCAATTCACTATAAAAATCATTTTAAAAAATCATACAAAATGTTTTCAGATATGTCATATACAATATGTCTTATTAAACGCCGCGTGCACAAGACGGCTATTAGATATGCATTCGCCTATTCAGCAATGGGGAAAATTAAGTCTTGCTTTTGTTTATTTTTGTTTTGTTCTAGCAACATTACATTAGATTCTCTTATCAAAATAGCATTTCTGATGTTCAACGTGTCACCGAGCTTTAAGCAATTAAAATAAACGTTTAACTTAAGTGACGATGTCATGTTTGAATGACTGGTTCTCCGCGTTACACCGATATGGGAGAACAATTGTCTAACTGTAACCGATTACATAAACTGGTTCTGGTGACGTGAATGTATTCAAGCATACTTGTGTATTTCACACAAGGGTATATATATACCCTCGTCAGAGTAGGAAAATCAGTTCTATCGATATTTCCCTTACGAGATCATTATAATTCAACTAAGAATGGAATATTTGGACAGTATTGTAGAGGACAAGGTCAAGAAGGCGTCCTTGAAAGAACATAAGGAAGACATGCTGAATGAAATAGGCAGCCTCTTTGAAAAGATATGTGGAAATTCAAGTAACACGTTTTCTAGTATGAAGTTTAACAGTGAAAAATTGAAGCGTAAAAGCTATGAGGAAAAGTATAATCATTAGCAAAAATTATGATAAAACAAGTAATTATCATAGTATTGCAAGCAATCCATAAGTCCACTACCGGTTAGAACCGCAGCAACATTCTGAAGGGCCATTGGCCATTTATGAATGTTTCAATTTTTTCTCTTTTTTAAGAAATTTGTTGGTAAAGTTATTTAAAAGCGATCACAGGAAACAGTTTTTATGAACAGACAGACTGAAGGACACTCTAAAGTTAATTTTTTAAACATCCCTGTTACCAAAATATAACATTTTTAAAAGCAAAATTCATAAAGATGAGATAACTCTTGAAATAAAGATCCAAGATGTCATACATGATGTGAGTGTAACAAAGAACAATTAGTTATGAAGTTGTTCATAATGAATATTTATTTTGAATTTGAAGTAAAGAAATTTAAAAGCATGAATAAGAAAAATTCTAAGTTTAAGGATGAAATAATTCTGGAAATAAGGATGCTAGATTTATAAACCTTGTCATATTATTATGATGTCGGAGTTCAAAGTAAATCCTATAAGTAATGAAGAAGTTGGAGTAAAATATACCAATTTCTCGAAACAAATCTAAGTTCAAGGGGGACATAATTCTGGAAATAGTCTTGCTAGAGTATTGAACCTTCTCACAAATTATTTCATTGATAATAATAAACATATATATTAAGTTTGAAGCAGATACATAAAGAAATAAAGAATTTACTTAAAAACAACTTTTTTTTTCATGTAAGTTCAAGGGAGGCAATTCTGACAATTTTTGTGCTAGAGTTAAAACCTTATCACATTTGATGTGGTTGATGACCAGATACTTATGTGTGAAGTTTGAAATAAATACCTTAAGAAATAAGGAACTTATAATGAAAAAGCCTAAAAACTAGAATCAGAAATCTTGACGAGGTTGCCAACGTTTGTAAAGTATGACAGCTCTCAATATACCCCCTATAGTCAAGATTAAAATGGTGTGTATAATAACCATACTACCATCTATCCATATTTTAAGTTTCATAAACATTTTCCGCTTTTTTTACTTATCACAAATATTGTTATATTTGCCATGTTTTAAGCCTATTTGTTGCCATGGCAACCAATTTTTTTTCAAAAAATAGGAAGAAAAGAAAAGACATGCACATTCTCCATACTGCTGTCTACCCATATTTCAAGTTTCATTAAAATATTTTCATGACTTTTTGCATTTTCACTAGATCAAGTTAATATGTTAAATTTGCCATATTGTTAGTCGTCATAGCAACCAGAATTTTTAACATAGGAAGAAAAAAATATGTGCATAATTTCCAGACTGCCATCTACCCATATTTCAAGTTTCATAAAAATATTTCCAGTACTTTTTGCGTTATCACTGGATCCATTTTAAGTGTAAAATTTGCCATATTTTCAGTATATTAGTTGCCATAGCAACCATAAATTTCAACATAGGAAGAAATGAAAAAGATGAGCATAATCTCCATTCTGCCATCTATCGATATATCAAGTTTCATAAATATTTTCAGTACTTTTTGCGTTATCGCGGGATCCATTTTTGTGGACGGACGGATTGACGGACTGACAGACGGACGTACTCACAAAATGGTACTTATATGACTTTTCCTTTGATCTTTTTAGCCATTTTTAGTCACACAAGGCTTAAAAAAGACACACGAGTAAAAACGGAATGAAAAGGATCAAAGAGATTTTACTGTTACCCATTGTTCTCAA